AGGAGCATTTTCTCAAGCGCTAGGTTGTCTTGGTGTGAAAGATGCTTTCTTGCAAGTTCCAAAAGAGAAGCCATTGAAAGTGAACTTGAGAGGAGAGGAATTCTTGGTGAAGAGGAGTTTACCTGGACAAAGAGTTGGAGCAAAAGCATGGTTTGACTTTTTCGCAGAGTACTCTTCACAATTACAAGTTCAGTGCTGAGTGTCCATGTCTAGGAAGAAATGAGAAGGGTATCATTTTGATTCATGTGGGTGACTTGATTTTCACACGTGGCTCAAAGTACATCAATGAAATCTTTCTTCCAAAGACTCAAGCAGATTTGACACCAATGTGAGCAAAGTTGAAAGGACATGGTGATGAATTAATTCAATTTGCTGAGGAGTCGAGGAGGAATAATATGGACTATGGATCCAACCAGGCAACTACATCCAGCAGATGTTGAAAGCCTATGAGGAGCAGATTGGCAAGATCAAACTTCAACAACTACCATCAGACAACTCCATCCAGATTCAGATGGAAGACAAGTCAGACATTCTCAGATTCAGGCTGTAGTGGAAACAAGAGCCATAGAAGTCAACAGCAAGAGGAATCCATGCGTTGAACGGTTTGATTCCACTGTACCCCAAGACTTTGACCCCGGCCCCATGCAATCCCACGGCAACCCTATAATGGCACCACTGCCATCGAAAAGTCCATCGTCTAGGGGCACTGGCTCCTCGAAGCAACCCCGACTTGGCCATCACCCCGACGCTAGTCAAGCCGGTCGAGCAACACACTCCGCTGCCAGTGGACGGGGCGGCGTCACTGCAAGTTGCCATATATACATCACCACGAAAGCCCACGCGCGCCAATGGCAACAACCCCAGGAAACGCAAGATCGGCGTAGCCCGACCGACCGAAACTTGGGCGGCCCATCGTTGAAAGACTCGATGAAAGCCCACGCGCGCTGTTCAAGGATCCTAGCAGAGGGAGTCTAAACATTGCAAAGTAGACGAGACCCCCACAAACGACTTGCGTCTGACGCTGCGGACACGAACTCTCTAAACCAGATCAAACCCAAGGCTGAAGTATTTTCCCAACATTCCCTCCTTTGGGTAAGCCAAACCTAGCGCTCCTTCTATTATTGTTGCACCTCACACCGAGAAGAGCGGGCGCCCCGGGAGGCGCCGACCCCTCCAGCTCAACCATGCCGGTCGCTTCAACGCGTTCCAGAAGGTCATAGTTATCCAAGTAAACACGCCAACAGGGGTTGGATACGGTGAAGGGTTTTGTTGACTCCACTCAGCGTTGAGACTGCCATCGCCCCGCCCAGACCAACTTACCAGGTTGCGGTGAACGTTCTGGGCAAGTCCGGCTGGGGGGCTGGTAGAAGAAAGGACTCATCGTGCCCCAAGATGGGAGGCTGTCCAGTTCATGACTGCTGACCAACCTACATACACCCTCACCAGTCCAGTCTGGAACACTTGTTTAATGTCAATTAGGCGCACGCACACCCACCCGAACCAAACCAGTGCACATTGCGCCCCAATCAGAATCCTCAACCATAACTCGGAGGGCTTTGATCTTTCCCCGCAAACGCTTGGGTTTGATGAAAGATTCCAACATATCGCCGGCAGCCTGAGCAGCAGACCTCCCTCCAGGGCACTGCTCCGATCTCCTTCGGCCATTTGGCAACCTTGACCTCATCTCCCTCGTAATCAATGCCACGAACCTGAAAAGTTTCAAGGTTTGCCAACCCCCACAGTTTGTAGCTCCAATTTGCAAAACCGTTCAACATCGACCCTCAACGAATTCAAAACCCTGACCTGGCTGTCCGTGCACTTTCTCTCACCACGAAACATCCCCAATACACGACTTCAGCGAGACAGCCCACCAGCGCAGGTTGAGGGACATCATAGGTCATGGTCCCAAGACTGCCTTATAGGATGCTGGTTGAACCACAACATACGTGCCCTTAAGGGGGTCACTCATGTGCCCAGCATCTTTGTTGCAAAATGGATGGTTTCAATGCTAAAACTAAGTGAAATTAGTATGATAGAAGTTGCTATTGCCCGGCCAATACTCGGCACAGAGAGTCTTCAACATGTGTTTCAAGTTTCAATGTACTTAAGATAGTTTCCTTGATGCGTCTCCTCACGCGCTCTGTGACCACACACGGCACAGTGGTGGGTTTTGACTCTTTTTGCTGATAACTGCAGACGTTGTGCGGTTTTACTTTGCAAATATGTTCTGGCACCGTTCCAGCAAGGGCAGCCTGGCAATGAAGCCGGGCTCAATGAAGCCAGGCTCATGGTACTGCAAACTCCCATTTGCATTTTTCATAGCAGTCATAGCATGTTCACGCAGCCTCGACAATGAACACATGGCCACAGCCATGAGATGGTTTGCATTCCGTCGCCCTGGATGGCTGGCGTGGGCCATGTTTGGCACGCTTGGGAGGCGAGACGGGGAGGGAGACGTGCGCTCAACTTGCGCAATCGTGATTTATAAACAGGTTTCAGTGATGTGTTTTTTTCAACAGCTCAAGCTGTATAGAGTTGGCAGCCATGCCTTGCCGCGCCGTGACTCAAAGAGATGCTCGAGAGAAGGTGGTCCAGAAGCTGGTGAAGAAACTCCAGCGCAAATTGGCCGGTGAGCACCACGAGAAAAGACTCATCAGTACCAACCGGCTCTTTCCTCCAGGGAGTTTCAAAACCAAAGCTTTGAGAGAGATATTTGGAGGATGGGTCAAGATATTTCGAGGGAAAGGCCGCTGCATGACCAAGAAGGTTTGTACTTTGGTGTGCAAGCACTTGAGGGCACACTTTGGTACCGGCGCTGTGCCGGAGGGAGAGCCAGAACGCCTTCTACATCTCACGCAGGTGGCTCGAAAGAAAAGCCTTGAACTGCCGGCCATGGATTGGGCAGATACTTTGCCCATGGACATCGACATGCAGGCCATGTGAGCGTGCAACCCCGCAAGTTGTAGCGTGCTGTGTTGGTCCTTGCAGGAGCCAAGTGCCTCCATGCTCCACGACCCGTGCCTTGGGTTGAAGTTGTTTGACGTGTTCGTTTAGCTAGGCGCCACCGATGTTGCAGGCTTTTGGATGATGGCATCCACCCATCGCAGCCACCCAAGAAGGACTCTTTGGCACGTTTCGTTGTAGTTTGATCAATGCTCGTGGCCGTTGTGTCCGGCCAGCTTGAGCCAAGGAACACGTTTTCTACGACAAGTCCCGCACCCTTATTCTTGGAGAGACCGATGACAACCCTGAAGAGGTTCTTCTAAGTTCTTCTATGTTTTTATTGGGGCGTGCTATTGCACATGTCTGGGTGTGGGTGTGTGGGTGTGTGCACACATGTTCTCTGGATTTTTCCTCACTGGCTGACTAGGCTGATGAACGAGCTGCTGATAGCTCCACTGCTATGGAAGAAGAAATCAATTTGGCATTAGAGGTGCGCAAGTTTGCACACAATTTTCGGTAGCTAGCAGCAGCTCGCTCTGCAGGACGCTGCAGTCTGGGACTATTACGCGAGCCTTTATGGCCACTCATCGGCATTCAACTATAGTCAGTAAAGGTTTTGTTCAAACAGAACCTTCACTGGCTGCTTGATCCAGATCAGCAGCCTTAGATTTGCTTGCGGCTGCTCCCAACACATGATTTGTGATTTGAGGTGATGAGATCCGGATGTATTTGGAGACTGCAGAATATGGGTACCCATGTGCTTCTTCAGTTGTGAGAGAGCTGGGCATACCAGTAGGCGCCTGCTGATATGGGGTCAGAGTATGCAGGTTGTGGGGGTACTACATGTCTACATGTTCTTCTAATTCTGACACTGTTGTCAGGACCGAATGTTAGCAAAGCAGAGATTGCGTCGGCTGTGATCGCGGCTCCAAAAGGTGGGTCTTGGTTGGTTAATTTCACTTCTAGTTATAGTTTCCAATACTACTTCTGTCAGGACCCGGGAATGACAATGAAGAGGCTACGTCTGCTGTGGTCGCAGTTCCAAAAGGTGGGCCTTGGGTGGTGGAAATTCTCTCCTAGTCAACACTTGTCTCTTTTTCCACTGCCCTCTACAACCAAAAAGTCGTGTCAGGACCGGGCAATGAAGAGACTATGTCCGCTGTGGTTGCAGTTCCAGAAGGTGGGCCATGAGAGACTAAATTCTCTTCTATAGTCAACGCTTGTCTTTGTCCATTGCCCTCTACAACACAGTAGTCGTGTCAGGACCGGGGGATTGCAATGAAAAGACTGCATCGGCTTTGGTCGCATTTCCAGAAGGTGGGCCATGAGTGGTTAGATTCTCTTCTGTAGTGGGCGTTTGTCTTTTTCCATTGCCCTCTACAACAAAAAAGTCGTATCAGGACCGGTGACCAAAAACAGTGAAGATACTACATTGGCTGTGGTCGCAATTCCAGGTGTGGTCGCTACATCGCCTGCATGTTTTCTTACATGTTTTGCATTGGTGTAGATATTCAATACTATGCTCAAACAAGTTTTCCTTGCATGATTCCTGTTTGACCCTTTTGCGAATCCATCAAAACCCAAACGTGCCCAGGCCATGAGGGTGCAGAACCGTCCATGGAAGACATCGTCGAGCCCATGGCCGAATGTTTTCCACTTAGATGTTTTTGAAAAGTAGCTGGTGTTGAGTTCTGGAACATGTTTTTGTTCCACTGAACTGAGGGAATGCTTGGGATGAATTTGACCCTTTTGCTGAAGGCTGGCCGAAATTTTCACCACGCAAGTGTTCTCGAGCTGTTTCATTCGCAGGAGAAGACCAAGATTGGCCACCCATGGAATATTTGGTGGAATCCGTGCCGTCACTGCCACAACGCCCTCTTCCCAGCCACCTTCTGGAAAAAATGTTCACCGGTGTTTTGTTTGCTGAGGGATGGACTGGTCCGCCCTAGACTATTGGACCATGGTTGAACTTTGGAAGATTTGGAAAGAGTGCGAACAACAAGCAGGCCAGGATTTCCACACCTTCATTCACCCGCCCGTGCTCTGAACAAGTCACATCAACTGTAGGCCAAAGCTGTCAAAGCGATCGTGATAGTCCTGAGCAGTTCGAGAACGAGGTGGGTCATGCAATGACGCGCAAAATCACCTTGGCCTGCGTGCTACATGTGGAGGTGGAGAAGGAATTGAACAACGCGCTGAAGGCCCATCAGTTGCGCGAGAGCTTACTGTGTGTTTAGTTCAATAAGTGAGTGAAAATTTAAATGTCTATTTTTAGTTGTCCAGGTGCCCAATGGGAGGAGCCAGGCTGCTTCTTGCAGAGAACTGGCACTTGTGTTCCTTCTCATTGCAATCAATAGTTCAAGATTTTAGGTTAAAACATAGATGGACACGTGTGGCAGGCCGAATCATCGACTTTCACTCCACCGCCCAAGATTAAGAACATTGACCAGATTGTCACTCCCTTTTCTAAGATTCAGCTAGCGGCAGCGAAACGACTAGAGACATCTATGAAAGGTAAAGGACCGGCTGAAGCTTGTATGCAATTTGTTCTGTATGGTCGCACAATATGTGAACTTGACAAATTCACAGATATGTAAACGAGAATGCCTACTATTTCACCCCGGTTTGGTCTGTTGGCCAAGGATTCCAGTGGCGCAGGGGACAGCAAGGACCATGAAGTTGCAAAGGGAACATCCAAAAAGAACTCCAACAAGAATGCAAAACCGAAGTGCACGGCAAAGAAACCTCAGAAAGGAACACCGTACCTGGGCTGTTTTTTTCTAACTGCTTTTGTTTTTCCTACTAAATTACCAGCTGTTTCCACCCGGTATACCTGGGTTTGTCCTAGATCGTTTTCTGCTGGTTGCCAAGGTATGGTGCGGCAAAAAAACAGTTTGCCGCAGCGCGCTGACCTCACGGCCCTGTGCCCACACAGCTCGCTTGCGACTCGATTGACCGAGGTTCAAATTCAAAGGCAAGGGCTCCAGGAAGGTCGCCTTGGAGAAGGCTTGGCTGAAGTCTGAGAAGCGGGCAAATGTGTTGTCTGGTATGTCAGACGCTGAAAAGAAAAGACGGCGATATGTGTAGCCTCGCAATCGCTGTTGATTTAGGCTGCTATCTTTTGATTTTGCCTTCCCTAGATCAACACGGGATAGGTGGGTGCAGCCGATCTGGTCTCCGGCCCAAACATGAGAACAATGTTAACAGCGGTTTGTTTATGATGCGCCTACATATCCTGTGTTTGCAGAATGCAACAATTGGGTTGACCATGGCATTGAGCGTGAATGCACGCAAATGCTGCTCTTATTTGTGCTTGCACATAGCTAAGCACCAACTGCAACTCCAAAGGATGCTATTGAGAAACAAGAAGAGTGTCATTCATTGGCATTAACACAGATTAAAACTTGTATGATTGTAGTGGGCATCAATTTTATATTCGTGGCCCCGGTCAAATCCTTTGTATGATGGCAAAAAACAACAGCTGCAGGCCTTAGAAAGGCCGACTGAAGGTGTTATTTCATCGCCCTTGAGATCATGTCTGCGCTTGCTTTGGCTCAGACAGGGGTTCGGGACATGCCACCCAAGACTAAGGCTAAGGTGGCAGGGAAGACTGCGGGTACCAACTGTCGCACCCGGACCAACTTCCCTCTTCCCGGATTGACCAGGAAACCGGCTCCCGCAGGGCAAAAGCTGTTGCCCGGACCGAAGAAACCAGGGAGCCACGTTGAGAAAAAGGTGACGCCCCCAAAACGGTTGCCCAAAGCTCCTCCAAAAGTAAAGGGATCACCGCTTGTGGCTGTGCTGGGGGTGCCCGGACCACCGCCACCCAAAACACTTCCCAAGGCCAGGCCCAAGCTTTTGCCAACCTCAAAAGGTTGCCCGAATCGATCTACCAGGTCACGATCTCGATCTCCAATTCAGGATCGTCCAGCACCTATCGCCGCTGCAGTGGCACGCCAAGTTGAGGGGTCTATCTAGCTTGTCAGCCATGCGTTTCTCACGTTTGGTCCCGATTCTGAGCTTCCTCTTGAACTGCTACTTGGCAAGAAAGAACCTACAGTTGGGGTAGCCTGCATGTCACACTTGGCAAGAGGAATAGGGTGCAATCTACATTGTTTCAGGCTATGGCGATGTTCCACAAGAAGAAGGACTTGATATTTTGGAAATGTTCGCTGGAGCGCATCGCATTTATTCAACTGGATTGGATGCAGATCTCAAAGGGACCGCCTTTGACGTAACTTGTCGGACATGTCAGCTCTGATGGAAAATGCCTCCCCTCCTTCAAAAAAACAACAATAAGTCCTCCATGACCCCGCTTCCTTCTTTCAAGTCTGGGTGGAGCATTTGTGTGATCTGGGCATGACACGTTAAGCCCGGCTTCCTCGCCTGTGTGGTCCAGGTAGAGTACAGCCAGAATGAGAACTTGCTCTTGCCGATCGGGTTCCTTGCAATCTTGCAAGCTTGCAGGAGGATGAAGAAACATGGCCATGCATGGTTTGGAGTGCCATGCTCGACATTTATCTGGATATCTCGAGGCCAGGTGGGTTTTAATCTATTCTTTGAGTCTTTCCAAGAGACCAATGATGAGTCAAGAGGATGCAAAATACATTGGGCCAACTAACTATTTAACGATGTTTTACCTGGGCACTACTTTGATATCCTCTTGGCCCCTCATAGTTTGCTGGTGAGCGACCTTCTATGGTATTTATCACCCCTTATCACTTGTCAGGTACGACAGGTCGCTCCCGACTCTTCCCAAAGGGACGACGTATCTCGGCCGTGATATTGATACGTGTGCCTGCAGACATCGTGATGGCCTGCAGCAACAATGCAGGACATCTCAAGAAGATCCGGGAGGCCAACCTTATAGTAAAGCGGGTATTGCATTTGTTTCTTGGCTGGTTTAAACGTATATGAAGAGAGATGGCTTGGAGGCCCGGGGGTATTAGTAAAGGGAACCCATGTATGCCAAACCTTATCATACCAATTAAGCGAGTTGAGAGGGCACAAAATCAACAGCCAATCCTGGTTAAGTATAGTTGCCTGTGTCCTCACATCATCTCCTTTGCAACAGACCTGCGCTTGTCAAGTTTTGAACCGAGGATGGAATACCTTCACCGGAAAGGTGTATACTGGACCATTGAACAACCTGCTTCCAGTGTCCTCGCTCTCCTTCCCAACCTGGAGGCCACTAGGCTACTAGACTTCTGTCGTGCGTTCCAGGGAGTTTTTACTTGGCTAAAAGTTTTGCTAGCCAGGTAAAAACTCCAAAAGTAGACATGTGTTGATTTAGTTGCATATACTTCTATCCAAACATCCTGCGCTGTTTGCTCACGAACCAGCCAAGTCACTTTGCAAGCGTCATGGTGCTCGATTCATCAGCCTTCCACTTGGTGCCATTGGACACCAAACAGTGTGCCCGGGTCTATATACCCTGTTGAAACATAAACTATGTCAACAGAGCTGTTTCTATTTTTGCTATGGATTTTTGATCTCAGGAAGCCAACCCTTCTGATCACTACAGCTCCTTTCCTGATCCCCTTCAGCAAGATCTCTATGACATGGGAGCGGAGGATGGAACTCAAGCGGCTCCAGTGCATGAAGGGTGTGAAAATGGTCAGGAAGTATCGGGACCGTCAAGGCAAACTGCGAGTGGTTCCTTTGAGGAATTCAAACATGCACCTATGTTTTAAAACCTTCAACCTTGCACCTTGAATGGCTACTTCCTGTAACCGGTGTTTTGCACAGAAGAAACCTGCGCCAACTCCCAGGTTGGCATTCCACAGGACTTGAAGATCAGCCAGAAATATCCCTGGGAGTTTGCAATCAAAGTGCCCTGGGTTAAAACCATTTGCAAAGGAAACACAAAAACTTGTGAGAAGCTACATGCTTTGCATTCTGTACCTTTGAAACTGTGGCCACAGGTGACCAACGCCCACAAGAGCTTTTTGAATGGGGTGAGTGCTGAGCGCTGCGTTCAACCAGACGCAGGGCTTGTTTTGGCCGACACTGCTGGCTCATCAAGCGAGGATGAGCTTGGTGATCTCATTACATCTGTGAACCCGAAGTGAGGTGTATACTATAGAAGTGTAGCTTGTCAGGACACCTGAAACAACCCTAACTCATGTCTAGCGTCACTCTGCTCGGGTCATGGATCCATGAGAGATCTTGTTTGGTTTTTGCTCGCAGCCTGTGTGCGTAGAGCTTGCGTGACTAAAGGTATACCGCTGCAGTGGTTTGCAGTCTCATTGATTGGTATTAAAATGCAAGAACATTTGTGTAGATTAGAACGAATCCCATTTAAGAACAAACTGTACTGGTCAGTTCTTCATCCTCGCAGACCCTCCCAATCTCAATCGAGTCTAGTGGCTCGGTGTGGTCGATCAACTGGAGGTGATGCAGCGATGGCAGTGGTGGCATGGAGATCAGGATCTAGGCCAGCCTGCGACTGGCGTGCGATGACACAAGCGTTGGGCATGTTGGCATTGTTTCTAGGTGCGCCGTGTCACGCCGTGTCACGCCGTGTCAGGGTCCTCATAGGATATGGTGTTTATGAAGTCACCCCGTGTCACGGCGTGTCGCGGTGGGTCACTGATTGTCACCATTCTATTGCTGGAAATTCTCAACACTGTTTCAACTATTGTATACCAATCCACTTGCCACGAAGCCCAAAAGGTTTTCCAGGATTGGCCATGTCGTCCGGCCAAAAGATCGTTTGGGGCCCGCCGACTCCACTTGCTGACGGTGCTGATCCAGGCACAGGGCTTATGCCCTGGTTGGGTCGCGATGGAAAGGGTGGTGGGAAGATGGCCGCCATTGCTAAAGCCATGGCCATGAAGATGAAAGGAAAGGGCAAGGGTGGTGAAGGTGGCACGCTAGCACTTGGAAACAACGATGGTCTGGCAAGCCAACGCACATGGAACTATAGTGAAGAGCCAGCCCCGAAAAAACCGAAGACTATGGAGGCAGAGGCTCCAAAGAAGAAAGAAAAGAAGCGGAAAGGCTTTGGTCCAGGGGATGAGGCTGCGGACCCATGGGATGAGAATGAACCAAAGAAGAAGAGTCCGGTGGATCCAAATGACCCATGGGAACAGAAGAGAAGGAACCAAGAGAAGGCAGCTGCAGACCAGCTGCAAGAAGAACAAGAAGAAGCCCCAGAGAAGAAAGATAAAAAGAAAAAGCAGAAGGCAAATGAAGATGGGCTTGAAGAAGCAGCCCCAGAAAAGACAGAGAAGAAGAAGAAGAAGCAAAAGGCAGATG